GAACATTTCTCTGGGTCAAGATGGTATGTCTTACTCTTTTTTTAAACATTATTAGCACATTATCAATAAAGATTTATGGAATGCTTTGGATCACTTTTTCAAGTTTGGGAAGTTGAATAGTAATTGGAAAAATATGAATATTGTACTGATTCATAAAACAAATAATCCTTTAACTCCTTCAAGTTATAGACCGATTAGACTTTGCAACTCAGTCTACAAAATTGTTGCTAAGATTCTTCTCAATAGAATTTTGTTGGTGATCCCAAAGATTATCTCTGTTGAGCAGGCGGCTTTCCTTAAGGGTAGATCCCTCTGGAATCATATTCTTGTAGCTCAAGAGATATTTCACAAGTTTAAACATTCCAAATCTAATAAAGGCTTGGTTGCTTTTAAAGTTGACATGGAGCAGGCATATGACTCTATGGGATGGAAAGCTCTTATTAAAATCTTTGACTACTTTGGATTTCCTATTAAATTTTCAAATCTGGTGATGGAATGTATAAGAGACCCTAAGTTCTCAATCATCATTAATGGTTCTCTTTCTAAAATGATTGAGGCTAAAAGTGGTTTCCGATAAGGATGCCCACTTTCTCCTTTTTTATTTGTAATGTGTGCTCAACTTCTCTCAAATTCCTTTAGTCAAAGAGGAAATTCTATAGGAGTTGGTATCTCTGCCAATGGTCCGAAGGTATCTCACTTATTGTATGCTGATGATATCATCATTTTTTCAAATGGCCAAATGAAATCTATCAAGATTATCAAAAATATCCTTGGTGACTTTTGTGGATGGATGGGTCAAAAGATCAATTGGCATAAATCGAGAATCCTTTATGGTAAATATGTGGGAACTCGAAGAAGGAAGAAAATTTCTAAAGTTCTGAATTGCAAAGAGGTTAAAGAGTTTAATTACTTGGGTATCAAGGTCACTTTAAGAAGATTGGCTAGATCTGATTTTCAGTTCATCATTGATAAGGTTATGAATATGTTGGGAGTGTGGGGTAACAAACTCATATCTTTTGCTGGTAGAATAACATTGGTTAGTTCGGTTTTATTATCATATCCTGCTTTTTATTCTTCTCACTCTATGGTTCCAAAGCAAATTTTGTATGAAGTTGACAAACTATGCAGGAAATTTATCTGGAATAAAAATGACAGGTCAGTTGGTATGCATTATGTTAGCTAGGAATTGTTGTGCAAACCAAGAAGTTGTGGGGGTCTTGGTATTAATTCTTGCTCCAAGAAAGCTGGGTCATTAAGGGCTAGATTGGCTTGGAGATATAATCAATGTAAGGATTCACCTATACATAAATTCCTTTTTCCGAAATATGGATTGATTATGAGAGAAGTTTCAGCTGTTGGAAAGAAATATTCTACTTGGAAGCTCATATGTAATGGAGGTAAATTCTTGAAACCCATTAGTAGATGGCTGGTTAGTATTGGGAAAGACATCAGGACCTATGAAGACAATTGGATTTTAGATAAAAGTTTGTTGCTTTGGCCTACTTTTGTCAATCCTTATGATGAAGGGAATAATACTGAGGATAGTTTTATAAGTGAAGGAAACTGGGATGTGAATAAGCTAAGGAGATTTTTTGGGATAGATTTGTTCAATTTGATCATATCTATTAGAATTCAGAATGATATGGAAAGTGACCAGCTAGAACTGAACAATCAATTTTCTGGAAGAACTGTATCTGCTCTTGCTGCCGAAGCTATGTTGGATGATAAAAGTGAGGTGTTCTATTGGAAATGGTTTAGAAGGACGAAATTATGTCCGAAGGTGAGATTGTTCTGGTGGAGACTATTCAATAATGCCATTCCTACCTTTCAATTTCTCTGTTACAGAAATATGCAAAGTTTGGATAAATTCCCGAGAGGGTGTGAGTTTGTAGAGAACAATGAACATATCATCAAAAGTTTTTGCTGGTAGGTAATGTTGCAGAGAAGTTTTTGCTGTTTTGAACAAATGGGGATTTTGTATTCTTGTTTTTTATTCTAAAGATTATTGCATAGAATGGCTGGCTAATCAAAATACTTGGATGAGGAGTTTGTTCTATAATTCTATTTATCATTTATGGGTAGATAGAAATATGTTTGTACATGAAGGTAAAAGTAAAAGCACGTTGATGATAGCTTCTGATGCTGTATGTTCTATAACTATCCAAAAGAATTCCAGTTTATCGTGTTCAGGTAATGAAGATGCTAATCAACCTTCAAGGTTGTCAAATTCTTGGCATCCTCCTCCACCTGATTGGATCAAGGTTAACATAGATGTGGCTCTACATATCTCTTACAAGGCTGGTTTTGGAGGAGTATTTAGATACCATCATGGAAGACTTTTATTGGCATTTGGTATGTCTCAAACTCATTGGGATGCAGCAGCTTTGGAACTTCAATCGATTCTAGCTATTAATATGATGGTCAAAGAATGGATGCTTGATTACAAAGGAATAATTATTGAAGGAGATAACTACAATGTTATCAAATTCATCAAGGGAGTGGTTAATAAAGATGGTATTAACTCTTTAGACCTTTCGTTTATTAAATTTTTTAATTATGTTGTTTTTAATTGTACTAGTAGGGAGAACAATAAGTTAGCCAACATTTGTGCTAACTTTGCTTGCTTTAGTTCTTTTTGCTGGTATGATGTTTATATGGATAATATCCCTCCTTCTTTCATTAAGTTGTTGGAGAAGGAGTCTGATGATTGTATAGGTTAATTGTTTGATTAATAAAGCTTTTTATGCTTTTCCTTCAAAAAAAAAGTGTAAGAGATTGAATTTTTGGAAGCTCATTGCCTTTTGACTTTTAAGCTATAAAGAACTTGGCGTCATCATAGATTTTGACTTCATGCACCAAGAATGGTTGTTAATCACCATCAATACGATATTCTTCATTATCTCAAATGTATTTCATACATTGATGAAGTATTGATGGCACTATACCATACTCGTGGAGCCATGGTCTTCCAAGAAGTGCTTTGTATGATGTGTTGGCATCAATGATATGAAATGTTGCCTCTGTATTAAGTTCCCCAAAGTTCGAAGGCAAAACTAACGATCCCAGGGTTCTTTGCCCTTGTTCATTGAATCCTTGTAGAAACATTGTGCTTCTATTCAAATACTAGACATCTAGGGCCAATCCTTTGAGCATTTTGAGGCTCATTAGATTAACAGAGGAACTTGGATCAATCAAAATTCTATTTATTTGAATATTGTTACTCTCCGCTATAACATATAATGGTCGATTATGATCTGCAGTTCCCAGGAGCATATCACTATCACAGAATGTGATTGTAGCAGTATTCTGCGTATGCAAAGCTTCTTTCAAATTTTGCTCAGCAAAGAATGCCTCATACTGGTTAAGATTTTGCAAAGCTTTAATGAGTGTTTACCGAAGGTTCTTAGACATCAGAAGGGCATCATAGACACTCAACAGTGCAGGTAGTTTGTGGAGATGAGATAATATGTTGTAATTCACATTTGCACTAGCCACCTTGGGTTTAGGAGGCTCTTATGGAATAACAGCTTCATTGAGTTGGATATTCTTCTCCTTATCCTTTGTTTTCTTTTGAGGTGGAGGAACCTGCTTTTCACTTCTCAGCTAGATTTGTGTCACCTCTGAAGATGATCTAGCTTCAGCTTGAGAATTCTTTAAGATTTTCAAATCATCAACTTCCTCGGAGTCTGAGCCGCTTCCAAGTTTTGTACATTTTTCTTTAGGCATGTTCTTTCCCTTATAATCACTTTCTTCATCGGGAAAATATAAGTCTTCATCTGAGTCGGTGAAAGGTACTGGTGTACGATGTACTTCCTTAGAAGGCATTTTCATGTCAGCTTTATAGATAGTAAGAGGTGCATTGCGTCCTCTTGCAGCCCTTCCACCTCGTTGATTTATGACTCGACAAGTCTCAATTGGAATACTCTCTTCCTTTTCTGACTCCGAGTCAAGAAATAAATCAGCCATATACTCCTCTAACTTGACAGGACGCCTTAGAGGTTGCTGATATTCATCGATGGAGTCGATGTATTTTTGTATTACAATATTCCACTTTGTTAATTTCTTCTTCTTTTCTTTCTGAGATTTTGATCTAGGCTTATTTTTTTTCCTTTTTGATCTTTGAAATATTTCAAAGGTTTCTTCTTGCTTGAAATGGGCCCTCCTGCCACTGGGTTCTTTGAATGAAAAAGTCTTGGATCAACTTCCAATTCTAATGCATTTTTTTGACGAATGCCTTTAATAGCCAGTAGGACATTCATCATTTGCTTAGTTTTCTTTGAAATAAAGGTCTCCCAACCACCTTCATCTTTCTGGGGTGCTTTCCCTTTCTAATTCTCAGTGCTTTGATAGGATGTAGAGGAGATAACATTGGTTTTCTCCCTCTTAGGATTGACAAGAACACTATTAGAAAGTGTAAGTTCACCATTCTGATAATTTCTTTTAACCCAATCTTTGAATATGAAACAGTCTTCGATTGGGTGACTTATGATCCTATGATAGGATAGTAATTTGGATCATCTATCATGCCAGCCTATTCTGGTCGGCGAGATTCTGGCAATTGAAGGCCAATTTTTAGGGCTTGCCTAAAAATCTTTCCCATACACTCCTTTTTAAAAGAATATGACTTATTAATTTTCTCCTGTAAAGTAGGAGGTCTTTGTCTTTCTTTTATTTGTTTCAGCATCTTTGATGGATTCGTTGAATCTTCTTTTTCTTTTTTTCTCTGAGGAAGACGGGAATGTGGTATTAACCTCACTTCTTTTTGGGTCAAAGATTTTGATTTGTTTCCCTTTCCCTGGTGGATTATTGTTAAAATTGAAGCCAGCACTTCCAGGTCTAGGTAACCTTTCAAATTTGGCTACACGATTAAGTAACTCCTGAAATGTATTGATTGTTGCCATCGCCAGATATTGAGCCATATAATCATCTATATTTCCCAGTAATAACTTGACAGCATGTTTCTCAGTGAGTTGTTGCTCATATTTCATGCTGAGATTTCTCTACCTGGTTATGTACTTGGTGACTAATTCCTCTCTTTTTCTTTTCTCAAGAGCTAGATCAGCGATAGTCACTTTCTTTGTTGCACTGGAAAATCTTTTAATGAACATCGTCTCTAATTCGACGAATGTTCTTACTGAGTCATTGGGTAAGTCAGCATACCATTCAAAGGTTGTACCTGTTAAACTACTAATGAATTGATGTAGTAACAGAGCATCATTGCCTCCTGTATTTCCACAGGTAGCTTTGAATTGTGTCAGATGTTGATGAGGATTTGTAGTGCCGTCAAATAAATTGAACTTTGGCACTATGTACCCCTTTGGATATTTCTCTTGGTCATATTCTGCTGGATATGGATGACCTTTTCTGACCAAGGCTTTGATAGCTTCAGAAGCAATAGCTACTTTAACCTTTTGACTGATGAGATTTTCAATTTGAGATTTACTGACCATTTCATCTTCCTTAGAAGCTATCAAAATTGGCTCCTGTAACTCTTCTGATCTCCTATCAGGAGGTACCAATGCATCAGGAGAAGTTTGAACATTCCCTTGAGAATTTACTATAGGTGGTTGACTAGTTGCAGCCATCATGCCTAGTTGTCCAAACAACTGCTTCATCATGTTACTCGTCTCATCAAGATGAGCGTTCAAATGATGGATTTCCTAATATTTCTTCTGTTGCATAGACTGCATTTCTGCTTGCAATCTTTTTACAACATGTTCAGCTTCTTCCTCCTCAACTTCTTCTAGTTATGGATCTCTATTCACAGCTGTTGCTTATTCTTGGTCATCTCGTAGTTGTTCTTCATTTTGTAAATTCAGTGTCGCACTTCTACAAGTATATCGTTGATTAGCTCGATTAGGTATATGATTAACCATCCGGACAACTTCAACATCTATGGGACCAATATCCTCTTCCACTTCTTCATCATTATCATAATAATTATCATCTTCTTCCAACTCATGATCCTCTCTAAGTTGGGACCGCCGCTTCCAATGTATAACTGGAGAGTCAAGGGATTCTTTATAGACTTGACAGCTTTTTTCTTTTGGTTTAATCACATCAACAAAAGTCTCCTTATTAGGGGATAGCTCTGGACATGAGATTTAAGTCGCTCTTTATAAATTTCTTTATCACGATCATCCCTCTAAGCTCGAGGATATGTGTGTCTTTTGGGAGCCCAAACTTGCTGACTTCTTGGAGTCACATAATGATGACCACCAGCATCAGAATGTACCTTTGAATGGGCAGATCTATGATACCATTGTTGGGGCCTTCGTTCATCATATCTTCTATTATAGACTTATAGTCTCTTACATGTAAAATATCAGAAGGCTCTCCCAATTGTTTTCTTCCGTAATATGGGTATCGACCCATATTAGGATAGAATTCTCTTGGATTTTGGTAGTATAGAGGATGTCTAAACTCCTCTCTATAAGGTTTTGTTGAGAATTTATTATTCTGAGAATGAATCACATTTGAGGAAATAACTTCAGTAATAGATTTCCTCAGTCTTCATTGTAGATTTCTATCTTTGACAGCCTTCAGTATTTTGTATATCTTGGAAGAGGCAGATTGTTCCTTCTTGGGCAGTTGTGGCTGTTGACGTGAATTCTCCCAGAAAGACTTCTTCAAGTGACCCTTATCATCATTCCTTTTTACCCATTTTAACGAATCAAAGCCGTTATTAACTGGTACATCTGCCTCTAACTGCGGCGATGATTCTTGAAGGGTCTCAGGCACCCAGCTATTAGCTCGTAGGCGAGCATTGGCCTTCCTTCTAGCTTTCCTGGAAAGTTTAGCACTTGCTTTAAAAATTTTAGCATTGTATTCTTCAGGCACTTCATCCTGGATTATGTTCTGACTGGCTATATTCATGCCAACATATTGCATCTTGGGCTTAAGAATCTTCTTTTGAATCGCTGGAGCAACAATAGGTGCCATAGTGAGTTTTGAAAATATAGAGGCCCTCTTGGGAGCCTTCTCATCAACAGCTTCAGTACTAGACTTCTTAGCGACACCTTTGATAGTAGGTGCTCTAACAGTATTCTCAGGAATGAACTATTTGAACTGCATGACTTCAGAAATAGTTCCAAATTGAATGGTTACTATAGCATAGCCTGTGTTCACAACAGCTTGAGGGAATTGCACTCTGGCTCCCTCACCCAGTTTCATAATTATAAATGACTTTGCAGGAGTCATGTTATTAACCTGTCAACAGAACTTACAGGGATTAGAGTCAACCTGAATTCTGCTGAAAAAGAAAACACAGAACTGCGTTGAAAGAACATCTATATTTATTTTTAGATGTTTCATTATTTAAGACTAAATATGAATTATATTTTCATCCAAAGATGGAGAGAAAAGCAATCCCCAGCAGAGTCGCCAGAAATCTGTTGGCTCAAGAAAAATGTCACGAATGCATTGAAATTTCGTTAGGGATGTTAAGCCCTATGGAACTGGCACAAGCTAACCCAGAGGGGGGGGGGGTGAATTGGTATTTTAAAATTTTTCATTTCACAAAGAACTAAAATCACATAAACCAAAATCACACCACAAGAAAAATAAGTGCGGAAATTAAAGTGCGGAAGCAAGAAACAAGAACACAGAGATTTTAGTGGTTCGGTCAACTTGACCTACGTCCACTCCCCAGAGGCGCCCTCCAAGAATTGCACTACAATCGTGACTCTCCTTTAGCCACCACAGCTAGGAGGAGAAGCCTTTACAAGGAACCTCTTTTTTCCACCCCGGCAAGGCAGAGAACCTATCTCCTTTTGCTTCCTCATGAAGCTGGCAGAGAACAACAATCAGATGCTGAATCCTTACCTCTACCGACCCTTCCACGGACGAGAAACTCTAGATGAAGAAGAAGCAGAGCAATCCTTGAAGCAACCCTTGTGAATCCCCTCACAAGCTCCCCCTCATAATATCCTCTCTCTCTCTCTCTCTCTCTCTCTCTCTCTCTCTCTCTCTCTCTCTCGTTTCTCTCCTCTCTTTCTCTCTCAAGGTCTTCTCAGGTCAAGGCAGCAGCAAAGATTGTTCAAAAATTGAACAAGAGCTCTTAAATAGAAGAGCTTCAAAGGAGCTCATTAATTGCAAGTTGCCGACAATATGGACATCGTCCAGGCCGATCAGTTCAAATCTCAGAAGATCAGCCAGAGCATCCCCTGAATGTAAAATGGACGCTTTAAAATTGTTGATCGTCCCAGTCGATCAGTTCAAATCAGAGGAAAATCATCCAGATCGTCGCCCTGAATTCAAGCTGTTCGATCCAGATCGTCCAGAAAGTAACTAAGGTTTTTGAATAGATCGTCTTGGTTGATACTGCGATCGTCTAGGATGATATGATCGTATCAATCATCCTAAATTCTTCCTTGATTTTTGTCTGATAATTAAGGCATAATTGTGAATATCGTCCAGGCCGATCCAAGATCGTCCTGACCGATTACCAAAAATCACATAATACCTTAATTGTTTATGGCGGTAACTTCTTTCTATTTTGAGCTTATCGTCCTGGCCGATACATGTATCATCGAGGATGATCTATAAATGATGGCTGCCTTAATTAAGAATCCCAAATAGAATCTCTATTTTAAACTAGATCGTCCAGGCCGATAAAAATATCATCCTGGATGATGTGAGTAAAAACAAAAATTACAAGTCTCTCAAGTGTGTATGTGTGTGTAGGGATACTTAGCATCAGTCTCTTTGAACATTACAAATAGACTCAAGAAGAGGAAAAAGCAAATTACAGACTGACTCAACCCTAACCTACACAATCTTGAACTGGCTTCATTTGTTCGTTCGATCTTTGATTCCTGAAAAGTTAGAAGTAATAGGCAGTCCAAGAGAATCAATAGTGTTTGTCAATCATCAAAACATAAGTCATGAAAATAGATTTGCAACAATCTCCCCCTTTTTTATGATGGCAAACACAAGTAGGAAAATCTTAGTAAAAAATATCAATAATCTCCACCTTTTTTATGATGGCAAACACAAGTAGGAAAATCTTAGTAAAAAATAGCAGTTCTTTAAAATTTCAAAGTTACAAGTACATCAACTTTTTCCTACCACATCCTACTCCCCCTTTTGTCATCATAAAAAGAAGATCCTAGACACACATAAAGAAAAAGGAAACAACATAACAGAAACTAAAATAAACTACAAGACAAACTACAAAAAATAGAAAACATAAAACAGAAAATAGAAAAAAATGACTAGAAAAGTGAGGGATCATGATTATCAGATGGAGGTGGTGAAGGTGTCTGCTGAAAGTAGCTGGCAAGCATAGTAAACTGAGCATTGAACCAGGCTATGTCCTGGTCATACTGCTGCTGGTGAGTAATGTAGCTATCAAAACGGGTTAAATCCTCTGTGTGGTGCTGCTCGTAGCGGGCAATGTCCTCAGAATGTTGCTGCTCCTGTGTAGTAATGTAAGCATCAAAGCGGGTCTCCCATCGATCAAACCTTTCTATGAACTGATTAAATTGAGAGTGCTGGAGAAGAGGAGTAGGATCAGGAATAGGAACGGGAGCGGGAGCCTCCTCCTCCTCAGCCCCCCGAGGTTCCTCATCCCTAGGGTGGAGACGAGTACTGTGAAGGGTACTGAAGGAACTGTTTGAGTAGAACATATTTGGGAGGTTGGGTGGAACAGGATATTGAATTTGATATTTGGTTTCAAGGACATAGGCTATGAGGTGTCCTAAAGCCATATTGGGTTTCCTCTTATGACTTGGATCGCGGATTGTGGTTAAGTGATCAATGTACCAAAAAATTAAGTCTGCAGTATTGAATTCTCTATATGCCATGATGTAAAAAGTAGTCAGAGAAAGTAGAGGAGTGATGTGGATTTGGTCCTCGGCTTTTGGAATTATGGAGTTGCGAAGGACATGTTGGATTTCCTAGCATCTTTGACTAAAGAGCTAATCTCTCCAACATGAAAAGGTGCATTGGTCTGGCGAAGGAAATGATTTGCCGTAGACCAATCAAAGTCAGGATCTGAAATGATTATGTGCAGCTTATCCCAAGTGATGGATAGCTGTAAAAGTTCAACACAGTCCTGATATGTGATTTCGACCGGGCGTCGATTCACATAGAAGGTTAGGGCTGTGAAGGTTGGATTTATGAAAAGATTTGTGAAGAATTCACAAAGGAGCTCAGTATTAAAGGGGAAAGAAAGAGACAAAATGAAACAAAGGGAAGTGTGAGCGAAAAGATCCATTTTTGGATACGAAATGTGGGCAGGATTGATGATTCTGGAGACAGTTATCCCGCATTCTTTATATCGATGGTAAGCAGCTTCATCTTCTGCCTCCCTGAAACGAGGGTCAATCCTAGCCCTCGAGGGACTCCCAGAAGTTTGTCGAACTCGTTTCCCACTAGCCATAGTAAGGAGTTAGCAAGGAAACACAAGAGGAGAAGAGGTGTGAGGTGAAAAACATGGCTAGAATGGCCTGAATTTAAAGAAACGGCCATATCGTCCAGGCCGATCGCAGAATCATCCAGGATGATATGGCACAATAATTGCATGCAAGCTGATTGGTCAAAAAGACGGTCCGATTGTCCAGGCCGATCAGATATAGGCCAGGACGATTAGACACAGGCGATCGTCCTGAGGAGT